AATTTACCAAGCATCTTGGTTATATTTGATAAATTAACTAAAATAAAAACTTGTTTGACATTGAAACTTGAAATTTGTTTGACATAAATTTCTTAAATTAAAGATACGCAAGTTAATGCTTATTAAAAAAAACGGTATTCCATGCCCTGGGATAAAAAAAAGTTGGCAAATGTGACTGTTTCAAGATAATTGTAATTCTTTTTTTAGTAAATAATTTCTTTATTAGAAATTATATTTCCATGATAAAACAGTTTGTAATTATTTTTTGATAGCTTCTGTACTTATTTTGCCTTAAACTCTCATCTGAAATATTTTTAAACTATTGCTTCTATTAAGTTGCATAAAGTACTCATGAAGTTTTGTGGCAGTTTAATTGTAATTATGGAGTCAATCAAATTAAAAATCGCATTTACATTTGCTTTGTATTTTTTTTTAGCGCGTTTTTTAAATGCGCTAATTATCAAAACTTGCAAAGAGTTGTGGTCAAGTTGCTAAAACAAAGAACTATATACGTGGCCATACAAGGTGTGCAATCGAACGCCTTTATACGAGAAGACCTGGTACTTGAAGAGAAAGAGATTTAACTCATTAACCATCTAGCTACTTTTTAATTGTCACAATTTATGTTTAGAATAAACTATAACTAAATTACTTAGTAGAAAATAAAAAATACATTTAAGCATTCATAATTATTGGCAATATTTTTTGTTAATTTTATTTGCTCAAAGTTTAACAAAAAGTTGGTTATGTATTTATAAATAATACATTCACCAAAAATAAGGTAAAAAAACTCCAAATAAAAAAAACAGAAATTCGAGGGGAAAAATGTGGATAATGATATATGTTAAATTACTTGTAATAAATATTTCTTAACTTTTTAACTTCTTAAAAACAATAATACATGCAATAAAACAAGCTGAAACTGGACATATAAAGACTATAATACTTTTATCATTCAAAGCCTAGTAAGGGCTTATTAAAAAATAAACTTGAATAAAGGGTATCATTTTAAAAATCCTATTATCTTTGGCAAAGGTGTATTCTAAGTTTAATTATATTCTAAGGGTGTATTCTAAATTTTTTTTTTTTTTATTATTATTTATTTGCAAATTCATTGTTAACAAGGCTACAAATGACCACTCGTAAGTTATGAGTTACTAGAAAACAAAAACATGTGTTAAAAAACAAGGAAACAGTTGACAAAAAAATTGGAAAATTGAAGGTTGCATAATGAAGGCAAGTAAAAAAATAGTTGAATAAAATTGTTTAGAACATGAAAGGACATAAAATAAAAGGATGTGATCTTCCTAAATGACTGAATGCTGAATTTACTAGAGTTATGTTCTAGGGTGAGCAATTGTTTTTGCTTTTATTATTTAATATTGAAATGTATCATTATACATTTCAAAATTTATTGAAAAAGGCATTACATGCTTCATTTACATTATGACATTCATAGATTTTATTATAAATTATTGCATTTTTTCATTCTAGATTCATATATTTATTGACCAAGTTAATGGCTAGGTTCTTACTAAATCTAATATCATGGACCATATTTAAGGTAACAATTTGCTAAATATATAACAAAAAAAAAAAAAGAACTCTTCAAAACATTTCAGGAACATATAAATAGCCTATTAATGCAATAAGATGTCTACTCAAAAAACTTCTTTTAAAATAAATGCATTAATTGCTACTAAACATTTTCTTTTAAGGCTTTTAAATTTATTTTCTATATTTTTTTATATTTGTTTTTGTTAAAAATCTATCAAATTTCAATATTGTCATTCATCTTAAATATTTTATACTTCATCCATAATTGAACGCATTTACAATTTTTTCATGAACTTTATAACTTTTATAAGGGATTATTAACTGATAATCAGACATTGTAAACAGAACTTTGTGATAAAAAGGTTTTTTGTCTTCTTCTTGCTCTAGCTTTCTACTATATTCAAGTGATTTCATTTTAAACATAGAACAAGGAGATAGAAAAATTATAATTTGGCATTAAAAACACTAATAACTCTAATCTGAATATTTTTATCAATGATTGCTTTTATTAAGTTATAAAAGTTTTTAGACCCAAGATAGGATGATAGAAATTTGTTGATCAAAGACGTAGCTGGTAAAAGAAAAAAGATTAATTAAAAGATAAATTTGATATGAAAACAGACAATACTTGAAGGGGTCAGAATGTTCTCAAGTGTTTTCAAAAATTGGAACCACGAACGCCATTTTCAAGCACAGAAAAACAAGATTCAGTCAAGCACTTATTTAATAGTTTAGAGAGAATTAAAGGAGTTCTGGACAACACTTTTGTAAGAATGTATGACAGGAATCTTATATGGACAACAATCAGTAGAAAAGTTTAATTGAGAAATAACTATAGCAAAAGAAGTTGGAGTGATTTGGATTGTCTAAAAAAGAGTGATTCTCTGATAGATTTAAGAAGTGAATTATAGGAAAAGCTCTCTGTAAATAGTTCTGCCATATCCTTGGGAGAGATAATAAAAACAGATCCATGAATTAAAAATAGAATGTTTGTCTTGACTTAAGTTAATAATACCAGGGCATTGGAGCCAAGGTCTAAAAATTGGCACCAATCTGGCTCCATTATATTTAGCTCCAGCTCCTGAGTAGCTCTAAACAAAACAAATCAAAATAATAAAATATTTTATAAAAACAGGTTTCAGTAGTTATATCAAGATTACTTGATAAACCCTTAATATAAACTTGATATATAAAGTGCAGAAAATGGCTTTTCTATACTTGTATGTGAGAAAGCCATAAAATACATTGCACACCTCTGTATCTTTTTAGGGTATTTCTTAATTTCCTTGATTTTACTTTTGAACCTTCTTTTTTTTAACTGAAAGTAGTGTTGTAGATGATATAGCTGCTTTTCATATTTCTCGATTTACTATTATATTTTTAGCTTCAAGTTATTTTCTGCTATTACTTTTAAGGCTTGTTTTGCTCATGTAACTGATTCTCTTTTAACAATATTTTACAGCTAGCAATAATTAATTAATTTCTAACTTTCTTCACAGCATTCAGGACCTTTGCCAAAAGTTAGATAACATGTTTCTTTTAAAATATCTCAATTAGCTAGGTGCTAAAGCCAAGGCATTCAGAGCAAAAGTCACCAATAACAACAACAGCAAAGAGTAAATAGATCAGAAATTGCATCTAAAAGTGTGCTGTTTTAAGAGAAAAACGAAATAAAAAATAGAAAGGTGACTAAGTAAAGAGGTGATTAAATTAAGTTACTCAAGTTATTTGTTGTTGGACCTTCTTTGTCTACAAAGCTTAAGCTTTTAAAGCTTTTCTCTCATTGTTGTAAGGTTGCCTCTATTTTTCTTTTCTACAAATACTATTAAAATCACTACCCAAATGACCATAACTCATTTGCATTGACTCATGTTCAGCAAAATTGCATATTTTTACTAAATTGTTCCTTATGCGACCTTCTCTGTTTGACGAGCGCTTTTGCGCTCTTGCAATTTTGCTCTCGCCAACACACCCGCCAATAATAAGTCTGGCGCTTTTTTAAGCGCTTGCTAAAAAAGTTTAAGCATGTTTTTAAATCGCAACAAATCTTTTTTCTTACTAAACACAAATAACGTATATTTTTTTAAATAGCAGATGTCAGACAAATAACAACTGTCTGGCCAGCACTTTTTCGCATGAAAAATATTTTTGAAACTCATCATATTTTCCTGATCATACAATCTTTAACTTTCTGATTTTCTTTTAACTCTTTCTAAACTCTCTAACACTATTCGTTATTTTTTAGTAATTCCTAACAAAATAATAATTGATGGTTGCTTAAAGTTTTATTAGGAGTAAATTAGTGTCCCCATCATATTGAATCTGGGAATGGACATAAAACATAAAACTTACAAAAAAATTATGTTTTTGTTACTTTAGCAACTTTGCAATCATTTTGAAGATTTAAACTTATAATTAATACAAAAATAGAAACAGAATAAATTTAACCAGCTCAAAAGTGGTTTTTAATTCTAAATGTCAAACATAAAATATATGGTTCCAGTTTGCTAAGTTCTTGCAGCACTATACCCAGCAATAATTAAAATGATAGTATTTATGCAATATATTTTTAATGACAACTTACTATTGTAATAATTTACCTTCATTTATCAAATTATGATAAATAATTTAGTTTAGGCACCATTACAAATCATTTATAAATGTTAAAATCTTATTAAGACTTTATGTCTCTTGAGAAATACTAGGGTTATAAATGATTTTGAAGTTAAATTGTATTGAGTTAGTGACATAACAGATAAAACCTTAATAGTTAAAAGGTGTTATTATTCTAGGCACAAATACTAATCCAATCTAATGGGATTGTTTAGGGCAACACTCTTTTGTAAAATTTGTTGTCCTGATATAATTAAATGCTCTATAAATTCTATTTTTGATTTTGGCAACATATTTTATGCAAAAGTCATATGACTTAAACTCGAGTATTACTTAACAAATAATTTAAGAATTATTTACAACTTTATTTGATCTTTATTTGATGCATGAAATAAAAAACTAAATATAGTGCATGATTACTGCTCTATTTATATAAATAACAGTATAAACACTTGTTAAAGTTAACTTAAATGTACGATTTGATTATCTTATCTTTCATTGCTGAGCTTTTAAAAAACAATTATTATCTACTGAGTACATTACAGTAAATTTCTTTTTAAATAAGTTTTTAACTAAAAACCAACCGCCAAATTTGTTGGCTTTCTTTTTTTTTTATTCTATTCAAAGTGTGATTATTATTCACACTTTATTTAATAAAGTAATCATTTAAACTTGACATCTTTGTAAGATGTTAAGTTTTTTGTGAGTTTTGGAAAAATTTTATGTGCGTCCAGAAACTTTTTTATAGGGAAAGTTAACTTAAAATTGATTTTATTTTTTTATAAATTTTATCAGAAGTAATAAGAAAACTATTCAGAAAACATACTTACTTGTGGTGGGTATGTTTGACTTGCCTCTATAAAATAAAAGAAAAAATACATATACATATATATATATATATATATATATATATATATATATATATATATATATATATATATATATATATATATATATATATATATATATATATATATATATATATATATATATATATATATATATATATATATATATATATATGTATATATATATATAATATATATATATATAAGACTTTAAATAATGCGTTTTTAAACATTTAAAAAATGCGTTGAAAAAAATTATTTTTCATTATGTCAAAAATAAATAACTTATATCTTTACTGATGTTTTTGTCGATTAGTAATATTATTTTTTTTTTTACTATTAATGACTTTTTTTCTACTAATAATATAAGCAGACAGGAAACTACTAGTTTTACATTATAAAAACTTTGGTAAAGATTCAAATTTATTTATTTTAAACGTAAAAAACGTTATTGTTTTTATTTATTTTAGTAAAGTTTTATTTTTTTATTTTTGCTTCAGTTATTTATTATTAACCAATTTTTATTTTGTTTTCCATTTTTTTTTAACAAGATTTTTTTTTTTTTTAATAAGTTTGTTTTTTTAGTTTCTTTATAACTAAGTTAAATTTTCAGTGCTTTATTAAATTGTTAAAACTGTGGTCAAATCATCAAAAAAAAAAAATTATTTGCGTGGTCATATAAAGTCGTAAAATCACACGCCTTATTTAAATTATCAAAGAATAGTATACATAATTACATTTATATAAATATGTATTTTTTTATTAATCTTTTCAAGCCTTGCTTAGGATTAATTTTATAAAACTTTTAATGGCAAACTTTATTGGTGCAAAAACTAAAGTTACGTTACAACTCAAATTTAATAGTGTAATAAAAAGTACTGATTTCTATAAGCATAACTATTAAACTATCAAAATATCTATTAAGTTAAAATTTTTATAAAACAAAATTTAAAATTGGTTTTAAAAGCTAAAATGTTTGTTTGAAATTAATAAAAATCATTGGACAAAAAACAAAATAAATACTAAACTATAAATTTGAAACTAATTGCAACGTTTCAATGAATGATAAAAACCGAGCAACGTTTAAAAAAATGAATTAACGCCAATAAAATGATGTGTTTTATTAACTAGCCGTGTGATCAATTTTGTTCAAATTTTGTTTTGTATAAAAATAAAAAGTTCAAAAAATAATGCGTTGTCAGTTACAGCATGTTCAAGTATAAGTCTATTTAAGTTCAGCATGCAAGTTCTAGTCTATTTAAAAAACATACAATGTTAAATTGGAACTATTTTATAAAAAAAATGCAAAAATCTGTGACAAAATATTTAAAATAACTAACTATAAAAAACTGAATAACATGATGAAGACTTTGATTGCATAACTTAGTTCCATAAAAACATAAAAATTATATTTAAAAAATTTGGTCAGACACTGTCCAACCCCCCCCCCCCAACAAGGGTTCAGTTTTTATGGCCGTATAAAGTTTAGAGCCTCCTCAAATTGAGAAGAGTTAAAACACTTTATGAGATTATTGCATAAAATTTGAAGTTTGTTGATGAATACAAACATAAATAAAATACTAAAGAAAATTATATATATATATATATATATATATATATATATATATATATATATATATATATATATATATATATATATATATATATATATATATATATATATATATATATATACATATATATATATATATATATATATATATATATATATATATATATGTATATATATATATATATGTATATATATATATATATATATATATATATATATATATATATATATATATATATATATATATATATATATATATATATATCCATATAGTGTAGTCAAAAGAGCGTATTAATGTAAAAAAAGTCTCTTACGACTACAATTTTAATTACCTCGTCTCTTAAGCTGTATTTGATTGTCGTCGAAATGTCAAAGCAATTAAATTAATGCGGAAGTACATTAAATTTTATTGTTTTTTAAACTTTTTTTAAAAAACCGCAATTATAACAACTAGAAAGTTTTTTTTATTAGTGATGTTTTTGTTTTTATTTTATGAAAAACATTTTTAAAACACGCGTAAATGTTGCTACATCGACTATCTTATAGCCTGACTCGCAACGGAGTGCTGCTACATCGACTGACAGATAGCCTGACTTGCAAGGGAGTGCTGCTACAACGACTGACAAATAGCCTGACTCGCAAGGGAGTGCTGCTACATCGACTGAGGGTTTGGTTTGGGCAGGCAGTCTATCATTTGAAAAAAAAAAAATTTAAGTTTTTAAACTTTTTCTGGTCTGGTTTATTAACGCGCTCTTTAAAACTACAGTTTATGGGAAACTCTTTTTAACTATCTTGCAAGAGTGTATGTTTATATATATATATATATATATATATATATATATATATATATATATATATATATATATATATATATATATATATATATATATATATATATATATATATATATATATATATATATATATATATATATATATATATGAATATATCTGATCCTATTCTAGCAAGAAAATTCGGGTGGCAGTACCCCTTTGTTACGGCAAACTTTAGCGGAAAATCAAATATTGTTTTTTATGAAAAAATTAGAGATATTTACTGTAAAAAACATTAAAAAAAAAGACCGTCAAATTTTATTTTGGGAGGCACCCAAATGCAGCCTATAATAGCCCCTGTGTGTGTGTAATGTATATATATATATATATATATATATATATATATATATATATATATATATATATATATATATATATATATATATATATATATATATATATATATATACATATATATATATATATATATATATATATATATATATATATATATATATATATATATATATATATATATATATATATATATATATATATATATATATATATATATGAATAGTGTATTATAAATTACAGATTTTATAAGTATATTCTTATTTTTCATTTAAGTATGTATTTTTTAAGTAAATGTAATTTTGTATATCTGCTTTTTATTCTAATGTAATCTTTTGAAGCAATTTTTATAATTTACTTTTAAACATAGACTTTTAGTGTTTTCAATGAATTTATTAATAATCATCAAAGTTAATAAATCCAATTATGAAATAAACATATAAGAAGTTTCTGGTTACTAAACACAAACATGCATACAAAGTAACTCTTGAACAAGCACTGCGCCTGAGGTTACGACAGAACACAAATATATATAGCAAGTTTTTAGATATAAAGCTTCAGTTGCCATTCTAAAAAAACTTGTTATACTTTTTTCTTTTTTAAATTAAAAAACCCACTTGCTAAACATCATCAACAATATGGTGAAGCAGTTTCGCTTCCTCATCATAAAGTATTTTTAACCTTTTTAGTTCATTTCTACCTAGTTAATTTAACTTTTATAGGGTAGGGTGGGGTAATGTGGGTCTACGGGGTAATCTGGGTCTAATCCATATTTATCTGTTATATTGATAATGGCTTTTTTCTCTGTTTTTAAACTTTAGAGAAAATACATTCAATTAAGGCAAAAGCATATGAAAAATGGTTTTTTTGAAAGTTAAATTACTATATTTTAAGGATAGTATACCTTTAAGACATTAACGCACATGATTTGTTTAAAATTTGAAATATTATCAGGTGGGGTAAAGTGGGTCTATGTGTGTACAATATTACGATATGTAATTGTATTATCGAAATTGTTGTTAATAGCATTACAAACCTATTAGTTTCATCAGACCTAACTACTTTCATGTTAATAATTCTTTAGAACTATTGAACATTTATGTTTAAATCTTTCAAATTTATATTAAAAAACATGTATATTTTTTTGTATGAAACAAAATATTCACCTAGGTTAAATAAAATATTATATAAGACCTATTTGGTGTTAAAATATTTTGTTTGTGATATGTTATAGTTAATACTAATTTATTTCTTTAAAATTTTAACAGATTTTTCATAAATATTACTTTAGAAAGAATTTAAAAAATGCCAAGATGTTACAATAAAAAAAATAAAACCCAAGTACAATGCTGATAGTTTGGAAGCAATTATGTTAGTATGTGAAGAAAAAAAGACTATTCATCATGCTGCTAAAGAATTTTCTGTTCCTAAAGAAACATTGAGACGAAGAAAAACTGTGCTGAGTGATAATGATGAAACTATGATTGTAGCTGCAGCTCAGTATTGTCAAAAATATGGTCTTCCATTAGATTCTCTTGACATTTGTAATTTAGTTGCTCACTTTTGCACAGCCATGAGGATGAAAACTCCTTTTAAAAATGGAATTCCTGGGAAAAATTGGATAATTTCTTTTAGGAAGCGTCATGTTGATAAACTTTGATTACGTAAACCTGAAATAATTACATTTTCAAGAGCTAAAAGTTTAACATGTGTTGTTATAGACTATCTATTCTGTGCTGTTCTGTGTGTCTGCAGATGGAAGATATCTTCCACCATTTGTTGTTTTTAAAGGAGAAGGCTATCTGTATTCTAAATGGATAGAAAATGGACCACCAGGATGTGCTTTTGGTGCAACAGCAAGTGGATGGATGCAAGACTTTCTATTTGAAAACTGGTATTTTACTTGAATTTTTTAATTTTCATTTTTTTTTTTCTTTCAACTTATTTTTTTTCTTTTTTTGTTGTTGCCTTTGTTGTTCTTGAAGATGGTACAAATGATTCAATTGAAGTAAATACTTCTATGGTTAGGTTTGTCGAGCACTTTATACCATTTGTTGACCAAGATCAAAACCAATACTCTTGCTTTATGATGGTCATGGCAGTCATTTAACATATGGTACCATAAAAGTGGCCATGGACAACCATATCCAAATTGTTTGTCTTCCACCAGATTGCTCACACGCATTACAACTATTAGATGTGTCTGTCTTCGGACCATTAAAGAATGAGTGGAAAAAATTTTTAAAGCGGTTTTCAAGAGTAAAACAAAACACAAAAATATTGATAAGACAGCTTTTACAGGATTATT